TGTATGTACGTATGTATGTATGTTACGAATTTATAGAATGTGTACATGAAAAACATAAATATATAAATAAATGAATAAATAAGTATGTATATATGTCTATAATGACATCTTCTGTCATGGTGTTCTTGATTACTTCGGAGTCTGCTCACGGCCTCGATCATTCGTCGCCATCGTGGCGCCCTTTTGCAGCAGAAGGTTCACGAGCGCCTGCGCTTGGGGCGTAGGGTTTAGGTTTAGGGTTCAGGGCTAGCGGTCGTGTGCAGGGCTCTTGGGGCATGCCAGTTCTAATAAGAGCGTGCACTAATATTACTATGTAGCGTCATGCTCACAATAGCTTGCTACTTTGACTCATAGCGCCATCATTGCTGAAAAAGCCTGCTCAGCGAACTCAAGCCTTAGAAGGACGTACCTCTTGGTAGTCCAGAGTTAAAGTTTAGGGTGTGGTCGCGACGTTCGGTGTTGGGTCACCCTAAAACCCTAAACCGCGTCTCTTGGATCAAGGCTGGGTTTCTGGAGTGATCCAGGGTCGGTGGTTTAGGGTTTAGGGTTTAGGGTTTAGGGTTCGCTGTTCCATCGTCGAGGTTTCAGTCGCTTCAGTCCTTGAGGCCAGGGTGGCTCGGAAATCTGTATATAGGTAGGTATGTACTACATGCAACGGAATGACATAACACAACCTAACGTAGTGTACCATAGCCAATATAATATAACATAGTATGATATAGGATAAGATAAGCCAAGATGAGATGCAACAGGATAGGATAAAACAGTAAGATAAGGTAATACAAGTATGCCACATCAGTATATAATATAATATAGGGTAAAAAATAATACAGTATATTGCAACAACAAATATAGTGACAAAAAATGATTTATAGGCAAACGCAACATAATATGCAAATCTTATAATATTATATAACGTAGTCAAAAACTCCACAATATGATATAGTAAATAGCAATATACCATAAACCATAGTACAGTCAAGCACTAAAACCGAAACAATATATTTTGATAACGGAATAGAACGGAATCGAATACAGTAGATTTGAAGACCGTACACCATATGTATGTGTGTGTGTCTACAACATGTGCATGTGTATATACATACATACACACACACTCACTCTCTCCGTTTGTATGTGTATATGTGCAGTATATATGTGTATGTATATATATATATATTCATGTACACATGTGCATATATATATATATGTACATGCACACTAGAAGGCCTCATCGCCGATACTTGCTGCCATCCCCAAAGGCGTCGCACCAGGCAGGCCCGCCCATTGCTTTGTGCTCTGAGCGCTAGACCTCATCAGGCCGCGCAGTCATTGTTGTTTCAATTATTGCTATTGTTCGTATCATTACCTCTAAAAATACTGATTTGGTTAGTACAGCGCTTTTTTTCTCAGCCCTACCCTGCTGTGACTGTTGCGAGTCGCTCAAGATTAAGGCATTGACGCAGCGCGGGCACGCACAAATCTGAAGCTTGGTGCTCAGATTGCCCTTTGCAATGCTGCAAAATTACCTGCTGGTCTTGCTCAGCAGGTTCTGTATAGCGGGGCTATCGTGGCTTGCTTTCATGAACATACCTCCTGCTGAACATGACCCAATTTTGTCTTGGCCGGCCAACTCTCTTCTTTCCATAGTTTATGCGGCTAGCAGAACCTGGTGTAAACGAAACCTGCCTCAAAGGTGATACTTTAAGTGTTATGGTTACAAATCCTGCTGTTACTACTACTAATGGTGTTATTCGTAGTAGTAGTAGTAGTAGTAGTAGTAGTAGTAGTAGTAGGAGTAGTAGTAGTAGTAGTAGTAGTAGTAGTAGCAGTAGGAGGAGTAGTGGAAGTGGTAGTGGTGGTGGTAGTGGTAGTGGTAGTGGTAGTAGTAGTAGTAGTAGTAGTAGTAGTAGCAGTAGTAGTAGTAGTAGTAGTACTAGTAGTCGTAGTAGTAGTTGTTGTTGTCGTTAAACTACTGGCTTGTTATTGCCATGTATTCTTATTGTTCTTTACTGCCAGCCTTGTCATAATTGATTTTGCTGTTTCTAGTGCTATTTGGCACTATTAACATCGTTACTATGGTTGTTGCTTTTACTGTCAGTATGATGATTGTTATGATTGTTGCTCTTATGAAAATTACTATGAAAACTGACATGTTGAACTTATTTTTGCTATTGTTGCTGTTTACAATCATTAGCCGACTATTACTGTTGTTCTTATGGCCACTATTGATAGGGCTTCTTCGACTGTTTGCAAGGCTTCGCATCGCATTGAAAGTGCAGTCACCGCAATTGCAGGCTCAAGACTAGGAGGACATCTGCTTGTGCATCAAGTGGCAGAGCACAAGCAGTGGATAGCACCTGCATAGAATGGGCCTAAACCCTAGACCCGAAACGCGAGATCGTCGCGGGGCATTTGCAAACCTTGGGCTGAGCAGACCCCAATTACTACGATGTCCGTGAGCCGTCATTGAAGATACATGCTACAGGCCTTAAGCCCTCTTATTATACACCCGACCCCAATTCCAGTCTTAAACCCTGAGCATCATAGAACCTAAACCCATAAGCTTTCATCCAAAAACCGGAAAGAAGGCCCTGACATTTTGACGACGGGTTCTGGCCATGTGCTATACGGCAAGGAATATCAATATTCAGGCCACTATATCAAATCTCCAGAGAGTCTGGCACGAATAAACAGGATCCTTAATGCAAGAACTCCCGACAAACGAAGTTACGAAAACCTGAAAGTTGAAAACCGTTAACAGACATCAGGGAATTCTAAACGGGAAGACTACATTACGAGGTCTCAGGCCCATGAACTGGAAATTCAGAACACGAGGCAACCCCAACATACACCTGTAAACTAGGATGTTTTGTCAAAACCGCCACACCCAACACTGTCAGACACTCGAAATTCTCAATCCACAAAATATAGATGTCATTCTTTTTCGGAGCCCTAAGTAAGTCGAAACACGGCTTCCCCAATCAGATTCATACAGGACTATGGCGGCCTGAATAATTCGTTCAGTTTTTGCTGAGGAATAGTACTACTGGCCTCTAATAAAAAGAAAATCCTAGACCCTAAACCCCCAAACCCAAACCCCTAAACCCCTAAAAACCCTAAACCCTAAACCCAAAACCCTAAACCCTAAACCCCTAAACCCTTCCGGCAAAACTCCAATTGAAACTTTGCAACCCTGAGATGCTGAGAAGGAGCTCAAGGCCCACCAATGCAGACCTCATCTGTGACGGCCAGGCGAAGTATGGCAAGGAGGATACATATATATATTATTTATATACACATACATACATATACAGGTAGATATACATACATTCATTCATTCATTCACCCATTCATTCATACATACATTCAGTCAGAAAACGCCGTGTATAAGTATGTACATATGCACATAGATTTACAGATATACAGATAAACATACATGTATTTTCATCACATTAGATGAGAGAGACAGAGAGAGAAAGAAAGAGTTTAGTATTTCGTTTTCTTTTTCACGGATTCAGGGCTTGGAGCTTCGTTTTATAGGCTTATGGCAAAGGGTAACGGCGAAACCCAGCTTGAGATTGCAGGTTGCATCATCAAAATCTTACAGTACATGAAAACACGTAGTGGTTCTTGCATCATCAACGTCAACATCTAGAACAACGTTTCCTTGAATCTTAAACCTTGATAAAAAGCCATTCGCTGCCTTAGTCACGGAAAAACCAGGAACGAAGCCCAAAGCCGCAACGAACCTGAATTTACAGACCGCCGGTGCCCTACCCAAACTTCCACACCCTACCGGTGGTGCAAAATACCGTAAACCTGTTTAATGAAACAACAATAGCAATCACAATAACCATAATCAAAACGAAACTACTAATCAATAATAATGTATGTGTGCATATATATATATATACCATAACTAAAGACCCTAAGAGGCAGGTCTCACTGTACCCTGAACTCAGCTGCCAAGCGGCCTCGCACGGGCTTGCAGAGCCACCCATGCGAAGGCACCACGAGGTGCCGCTCGCGCCTCAAAGTCTCGGAGGGGGCGACCCGTACGGTTTCGGGTTTCAGGGTTAGGGCTAAGGCCTACAAACTAGCTGTAGCCATGCTTGGAAGCAATGGCTGATAACCATCGCAGCCCTCACAATGGTACTGGTTAGCAAGTTATTAGAGTGCGGCGCGCAAACAGCAATCATAGGAAAGCCGTGCCAGAGGATAGAATTTGGAACGTGGAATTGAGGATTTAGGAGTGGATTGAGGCTTCACTGGATAAGCTTTAGGGCCCATTCTGCACAGTATCGAGTTTGTGGGAGGGAGAGCTCTATCTGAACCACGGAACAGCTTGAAGTTGCGGTTGGGAATGCTTGGGGAAGAAGGCAGGACACTTCAAAATGACATGCGTCATCATCACACCGACCTCTATAAGCAATGCTGGCACTACTAACTATACTTCGCTTTCACTAAGCAAGAGTAAAAGGACCATCCTTTTGGCTGAAATTTCATCTGAGAGGCATTGATGTCTGCCCGGTATTCCAACAACAGGGATGCCGACTCCAGCGCATGAGGGCTCCCCCGTGCAAATCGGACCAAGCCAATGAGGGGCGTTATACCCAGGCCGCTTTGGCTGGGGTTCGGATCGCATCTGGCCATTAACATTGCTTTCAAAGTGGGGGCGCTGGTCATCCCGGAGGCTTGTGCTAGCGGCGTGAAGCAGAAGGGCTCGTGCGCGGTGTGGAAGTCTGCGCACGCTTGCAGCAAGACTTGCACATGCTCCGGGCGCTTCACGTGGCAGGCCGCATTATCCCCGATGTCTGCTCTGCGGGAGACATCCGCTCGTAGGTGGATCAAGCTGGCCACCAGTGAAGCTGGCTGATTGGACTTCACTGCTGCCATGAGGACCGTGAAGCTGTCGCGGAAGCCAAGGCTGTTTAGGCCATGAATGGTAAAGTTCAAGTCTGCTGCGTATGTCGCCAAGAGCCGTAGCATCATCACATCACCAGACATGACTGCGCACATCACGGCGTTCATGCTGCTGGTGTCTTTCACAGCCACCTCCATGCTTGGAAACTTAAACCTCTCCAGGAAACCGTTCATATCCCAGGTCTTCGATGGCTGGCCCAACATGGCGGCCTGCCGAGCCAGGAAATACCGATACACCTCCAAAGGCCCTTCCTCGGAGAGGTGAGCAATCTTGCTCTCAATCGCTCGTCTTCCGAGGCTTCCGACAACAGCACGATCGCTTTCTACAGTGAACTCCCCATCCACAACAATATTATTCTGCCAGTCCCAGGACTGCATGAACTTTGCTTCCAGAGTTGAATGCACGACCACCGCGCTCTTGTCGCGCTTGTTGCTCAAGACGTGACACCAGAGCTCTGCCCGACACCAGCCCCTGGTGGACAGGGTTCAATGTTCAATGTTCAATGATTCGACGTCAACCTTTAGGGTTTAGGGTTTAGGGTTCTGCCTTCCTGTAAGGGCTTGGAGGGCAAATATAGAGGCCTGAATCCGTAAATTATAGCAGGATTCGGAGGCATGAAGCATGACTTAGGGAAGAATCTAGGTAACTCTTCAAGCCTTATGTTACAGCAAGACGCGGCTTGAAGGGGACTTCCAAAGGCCTGGAAAACCAGGAGGTATAGTTGCAATACTGCCCGGTTTCGGTGTGCACCAACTCCGGGACGAGGGCCAGAAGAACGTCGGAAACCTAGGGTTCAGGGTTTAGGGTCCCGGGTTTAGGGTTTAGGGTTTAGGGTCCCGGGTTTGGGGTTTAGGGTTTAGGGTCCCGGGTTTGGGGTTTAGGGTTTAGGGTCCCGGGTTTGGGGTTTAGGGTTTAGGGTTCAGGGTTTTTGGGCAGATGCTAGGGGTTCAGGCTTTAGGGTTCAGGGTTTAGGGTTTGGGCTTGACAAGCAAACACGGCTGAAGCCGTCTATTCAGGGATTGCGGCTTTGGGGTTTGATTGGAGTTTAGTGCTCTGCAATAAAGTCTCGGTGCGAATTACCTGCTACGGACCATGGTCTTTGCCTTCCATCTTGCAGGCTACTAATACTGCGCTGATGACATCCTGTCAGGTGCGCCTCAACGTAGAACGGGATGCTTTGAACAGCTCGCGCGGCATCTGTCTTCGTGGCCTGAACTTTACGAAGTTCAAGACCTTTTCGAAAGTATCTTCTGGCGACGACTTCTGCTAGGGATAGACTTCTGATGGAAAAGATAGCAGGGCTGTGAACTCTAACGGAGCCGAAACTGAAAGGTCAACACCCTCGTGCAGGTGAGGTGAATAGCGATACCACAGACAGTTGGAACATGGGACGAGGCCGATTACTGATGGGATTCCCGTTACGTACTTGAGCTCAAGGGGATCAGGATCACTTAAGGGCTCCAACTTTAGATTGAAGCGGGCTGTATGGGGCATAAGGGCTTTAACAAATATTGACTTGAACAAAGACGGTTGCGAGTGCAATGCCTTCCCTAGGAAGGAAGAACTCGACAATGTTGTCCTCTTGCCTCCTCGTTGACGCCCTCTGCCCGGGCAGTGATCTGTGGGATGGCAAACCTCGGTCTCTTTAGGGTTTAGGGGTTAGGGTTTAGGGGTTTAGGGTTTAGGGGTTTAGGGTTTAGGTTTTAGGGTTTAGGGAGTTCCGCTTCTGGCGGGTAAGGCTCCTTCACGCTCCTTCTTGCGAACTTACTCTGCTACAACTCTTGTCAAGAACAGCGCAGGCAAAAGCTTCAAGGGACGCCGACAATTTATTAATATTGAGGCTTCTAGTACGAGGACGAGGACGATTAAGTCCAACACCACCTCTGCGACAACTGCCGCTGCACCGACAACTACCAACAATGATGACGAAGCACTTTGTTTGCGTCCTTGTCCCCATTAGTTGACTGCTGCTAGGGCTGCGGCTGCTACTGCTACTACGACGACTACTACTACTTGCTAATTACTGCTGCTGCTGCTGCTGCTGCAGCTGCTGTTGCTGCTGCCACTTCTGCCACTTCGTGAGCTGTGTTCTGATATGTCAACCGACCACCACGATCACCACCACTACAACTACTGGTACAGGTTTGCTTGGCTTACAGTCCAGATTCCAGCAATGAGTTCTTGCAACGATCCGTCGTGATCGCCTTTGTCCTACACCCTCCTCGACCTGTAGATGCTAGAACGCAATATAGTAGGGGAGGGGCCTTAAGAACTAGAATAGGGATTGTGGGAGTACGCTATACTAGAAATAATTACAACGCAAAATAATCCCGACTTCCATATTTGGCGGCGCTCTCGGGACTCTCGACTCTGTAAAGACTATCCAGGGCCCGAGCTTCACACGCACACGCTCATGTGCGAGTCGTGATCGAAACTGTCGAGGGTTTGTGGTTCATGTAGGGGCCCTGAAGTAGAATGAGGTCTTGGAGTTTTTTTGGGGGGTATGTTACAAGATCATTGTATGGGGACTATAGGTGCCAGGGCTTAGCGGTTACGGTCCATAGACGCCTCGGTGTCTCGTAAAAAACCTGCACCACTGGCCCGTAACTGCTAACCCTCATCACGCCGTTTACAATCTCTGCACCCCAACCACTAGATCCGAAACCCTAAACCCTGAACCCTAAACCCTAAAACCCTGAACCCTGAACCCTAAACCCTAAACCCTAAACCCTGAACCCTGAACCCTAAACCTTAAACCCTGAACAAAACTCAACACCGAAGCCTCACTCTCCCTCTGTCGCTCCCTAAACCCCTAAACCCCCAAAGCCCTAAATCCTAAACCCCTAAACCCCTAAACACCTAAACCCCCAAACCCTAAATCCTAAACCCCTAAGCCCCTAAACACCTAAACCCCCAAAGCCCTAAAACCTGAACCCCTAAACACCTAAACCCCTAAACCCTTAAACCCCAAAACGCCCCAAAACCTAAATCCTGAACCCCCTAAACCCCTAAACCCCCCCCAAAGAAAAAAAAACTAAAACCCTGCCAAAAAGCCTAAACCCTTAAATCCCTAAACCCTAAACCCTAAACCCTAAACACCTGAACCCCCCAAAGGCCCCTAAAACCCTGCCAGAGGGCCAATCCAAGAAAAGGTAGCCTTGGCCAATCGAAGAAGCCTCGAGCAGGCGACGCCGCCGGGGTGCCTCGTCCTCGATCTCGAACTCCGCCTCTTCTTTAGATTTTAGGGTTTAGGGTTTAGGGTAATGTATGTCTATATATATATATATATATACATATTCCTTCTTTGGGTTTGTGGCTTAGGGTTCAGAGTTTCGCCTCTTTTTCAGATTTTAGGGTTTTGAGCTTGGGGTTCAGAATTCAACCTCTTCCTCAGATTAGTGTGTATGTATGTCTGTATACGTACGTACGTACGTACGTACCTACGTATACGTACGTACGTACGTACGTATGTATGTATGTATAATGAGTGAATGAATGAATGAATGAATGAATGAATGAATGAATGAATGAATGAATGAATGGATGAATGTATGAATGAACGAATGTATGTATGTATGCATAAATAAATAAATATATATTTATATATATACAGATAGAGAGAGAGAGAGAGGGAGAGTAGCCCGACCGTAGGGTTGAGCGGTTGCAGAATCTTTGATGGCATAGGGATGATGAGGAGGAGGCGGAGGCTACAGACAAGGCTGAGGATGGCAACAACGATGACGGTGGTAGCGACCGTGAGCAGTATCCACATTAGCAGCGGTGATAGAGTCTGATAGAGACTTCAACATCTTGCCAACTACTCCTCAGCCGAAAACCTTGAAATCTGAATCTGAACCTTCAAACATCAAAGTGAGCAAAAACTAAACTAGAGGTTCTTAAACCTAGATCCTAGATCCCGAAACCCCTCAAGCCCCACACCTTAAACTTAAAACCCTAACCCCTTTAACCTCAATCTCAGCGTTCCTACATCCCCTACACTTCGCATTGCCCCAAGCTGAAATACCAACCTCCCCAACACGTAATTACATCCCCTAAGTTCACTCCCCAGACCCTAAACCTTAAACCCTAAACCCTAAACCCTAAACCCTAAACCCTAAACCCTCAAAAAGCCTGGAGAGTTCCCTGGATCATGCCCTCGAGCGATCGGCGCAGGATGCTGGCGTGCTGCCCATCCGGGTCCTGAGAGATTCGCTGCGCTGCAGCTCGTGGGGTTTTGGGTTGGGGGTTGAGTGGTCTAGGGTTTAGAGGCTTAGGGTTTAGGGTTGAGTCGTCTAGGGCTTAGGGGTTTAGAGTTTAGGGTTTAGGGTTGAGTGGTTTAGGGTTTAGGGGTACAGGGTGCAGGGCTTAGGGTCGAGTGGTCTTAGGGTTTCGGGGTTCGAGGCGTAGGGTGCATGACGGCGGAGAGCTGGATGCTGTAAAGGCAGGCTGAGGACTCGGGCTTTCCAATGTGAGGTAGGAGGTGGCAGCCCAGGGCGGGATGGTCCCTCTGATGGTATCAATTCGGGGTTTAGAGTTTAGGGTTTAGGGTTTAGGGTTTAGGGTTTAGGGAAGAAGAGGCATGAGGCCGAAAACATCGGTAGATAGCATGCCGCTCACGGGCACCCTGGAGGCAACTGCTGCAAGAGGCGTAAAACACATGGGTAGTGAGAGCTGCGAGTACCGCGACGATGATCATAAACCCTAAATCCTAAACCCCAAACCCCTAAACCCTGAACCCACGACACGGGTGTGTGGCTTCCGTAAGTTGGCTAACCAGGAGGACCCCCGAAGTGCACCCCAGCAAACAAGGCGTCGCAGCCCGCTCGGGGTACTGGCAGTAGCTCGTAATGTAGGGGCCTTGATAATTAGAATAGGGTTTTGAGGTATATTATACTATACATTTATACTAAGGAACCCCCAGAATAGTATAGGTAGATATTAAAGGCCCCTGTAATACCGTTCTGCAGCCTTGGATCTGGATGCGATCTCCCAAGCCATTGGTGCGACACGAAGATGACGAAGAGGCCAGGCTGCCACTGATGGAGAAGGCCCTTTCTCAGCAGTGCGTGGTGGGCCTTCAGGCGTCCCAGATGGTTCAAACCAACCCTAAACCCTAAACCCTACACCCTAAACCCTAAACCCTAGACCCTAAACCCTAAGCCCTGGTTCAACAACAACAGTAAAACCTATGCGATCCTGTCAGGCCGGAGGAACTGTTTGTTTTGAGACAAGAGAAAGTCAAGACCCCGCTGGGTATCTGGGAGTTTCCGAAAATTGGGG